TTAATTGACTCCATCTGCTAAAAGCATGGCCCAGCATTTTCAAACAAGGGAGAGCCGCATACCTTTTTGCAAATATGGAAGAAGGTGATTTACAAAACGGCTTAAGCCCGAGTATTTAGTTAAGCTAATTGACTCGGCTGGCTTTTTGCCAAACACTCTGACTTAATAGGCTTGCTGGAAAGGGCGACTGCAAAAAGCTACTGTAACCTGGTACAGACGTCATCTGGGATATATGGCTGTCTTTGCATTGCACGCCTGCCTCATTTGGATGTCGTTTTTTTCTAGCGCGACGATGCAAGTCATAGAACCATAGAGTTGGAAAAGACCTCAAGGGCCATCCAGCCTAACTCCCTGCCATGCAGGAACTCACAACCAAAGCACCCCCTTACAGAACTCACTCACGCATTCCGGGTTTGCGATTCGCACTACTGAACCACACCTCTGCAAGTTCGGCTGCTCACATGTGCGTGCAAGCATTTGAATAAAGATGGGAGTCGACGATGTGAATGCATTCAGAACACGTTCAAGGCATGCAGAGTTTTATCCTGGGTTTATTCGTATCAGTTATTCACACTACTGATGATGTGGATCTTTTATTAAAAAGCTCAGGGGAAAACCCAATATCCTGGATTAAATGGTTTTTTTTAGCAGCCCACCGAAAACTTAATTTTAGTGATTGTTTATTGTAAGTTTAATATTCAGTGGGGGGGGTTGGGGAAGGGACTAATTTTGAATTTTATCGCATTCCATCCACTTTTATTGCTGTAACCCTCCCAGATTCCTTGTGATTGGGTGGGTATTTATTATTATTATTATTATTATTATTATTATTATTATTATTATTATTATTATTTGGATGCGTTCAGGATGCGTGTGAACAATGGAGATTCATTGGGATTCATTCTGGATTATTTTGACCATCTGAAGAACCCAGATTGCTAGATCCGAAATGCTCCTAAGAATCTTGGCATGGCAACCTTGCCTGCAAACGTGGCATGCTTCATCTGTTGCCTCCTGCGTTCCTTTGCAATGGCATGCTCTCAACATGAAGCAACAATCTCAGCTCATACACTGATGCCAAGAGTCCTTTTTTAGCAGGCGATCCAATTACAGGACGCCGCGGTGAACGTTATGAAGAAAATGACATTGGTACAATGCAAGCCTGAAAGCTTTGCTTGCTAATAGAATTTCAGGCCAATCATGGAAGCAAAACATTGCATCCCACAACAAAACATGCCGAAGAAGCAAACGGAAAGTGGATTTTGTCATATGAGCTGAAATCTGTTTGTTCATCCCAACTAGAAGAAAGCCATTGAACCAATAGCCTTAACCTAAATGTTATCATTTAGCAATTGAGTCAAAGAGTCTTTTTGGGACAGGGGTCCCCATTGCAAGACGAAATGGTAAATCCAACACAGAAGGGATCAAACTCGAATCAGGGCCTGAAAGGTTTAGGAGCGTGGTACTCACACTCACGCCCTGTTGAAAATGAAATAATTTATTAAAATGACTAAGGATTGCATTTATTGATTAGATAGATTGATTTTATATCCCAGCTTTCTCCCGGGATTGGGACTCATGGTAGCTTACCACAGGATTAAAAAAACAGACATGGCTTTTTTAAAAAGTAAAT